CCTTGGCCACATCCCTCTGGGGATCGGCCCCTCCCATGGCGGGAGAAAGGGCCCTGAATTTGAAGTCAGGTCTCGTGTATTAACTCTGGCTTTGGCAAGGCCCTTCCTCACTCAGAGCTTCCTCAGTTTCCCCCTGTGTAAAACAAGGGGATTGGAGCAGAGGGCATCCATGGCGCCTCTGGAGCTTTACTCCTGATGGGTCTCTGGCCTCTGAGGCTCTGGGTGAGGGAAGTCTGCCTGCCTTGTCCCCTCCTCTGCCAGGGGACTCTTTGTGCCAAGCTGACCTGCAGCATTGGCGCCGTCTCACCGCCCGGCTTTGCCCCCCTTGTCCCGCTGGCTGCCCGACACTTTCCAAAGCGCCTAGCAGACTTCTCTCTGTCCGTTGTCTTAGTGACCCAGGAGGTGGGCCCGCAGGGCAGGGCTTCGGGTCTCTACTTTACACATGAGGATGGTGAGGCCCAGAATCCAGGGCCCAGCTCAGGTTGACCCAGGCAGCCTTGGGGCAGGAGGCAAAGGTTTAGCACCCAGTGAGGGAGCCCGCCTCCCTGCTCTTGGACTCTCTCCTTTGCCCTGGACTGGTAAAACCTCCTCCCACTTTGGGGACCATGTTGTCTCTTTCTGAGGCATTAGCTTCCTGATGTCTTCCCTTGCCAGCCCAACAGCTCATTTCTAACTTACGGCACTAGAAAATGTTCTCATCTTTAAAACGGGCACACACAGAGCCAAGCAGAAACAGCTACCTGGTAAGGAAGAGGGAGGGGGTAGCTCTGCTCAGGGGACACAGGCTAGTCTATAGAGTGGGGAAGTGGAATAAGTTCTGGGCTTGGAGTCAGGAAAACCTGGGTTCGAATCCTGCCTCTGACCCTGACAAGCTACTTGACCAGAGATAAATTACTTCACCTCCAAGGATCAGTATCCTCATCTGTAAAATGGGGACGAGAATGCCCACAGGGCTAGAGATCACAGGCATCATGTGACCTTTGCATTTCCCATAGGAAGTCGGTTAGGTTTGGGTTCAGCTTTGCCCACAGAAGGCCTGCTGACCCAAGCTCCCTTTCCAGAGGAGACACCCTCCCCTCTGAGTCCCTTAGGAAGGTGAGGTCAGTGCAGATGGCCTAACCCGGGGGGAGTCAGCGTTCGGGACTTAGAGCCCTGAGTACATGGCCCCTTTCTCGTATGGCCACCAGCCTCCTGTGGCATTGCTCTGACCCCAGGCGGTTCTCAGTCATGGGGCAGCCTACTTAGCACCAGCACCTGAATCTGCCCCCGACAAGGGGCCGCTTTTGTTGGGGCAGGCGGGGAGGCCACGCCGGGTGAGCTGAGGAAGGCAGGAGCCAGCCAGGCAAGGGAGGGGAGGGATCTGGAACAGCCCGAGGTCTCTGTGCTCCCCCAGCCCCGTGCCCGGCTGGGGATGGCGGAGTTAGCACTCCTATAAACAAGGAGAGGCAGACGGCCTGTCAGGGGATGGGGAACATCTGTTCTATGCCATGCTAACACATACTTAAGCTTCGGGGTGTTTCTTGAAAAGATCTAATGGATTTGGGGCTCACTTACCCAGTCATTGTATAAATAACGGAGCCCAGCACGGAATCTCAGCTGCGAGGGCTGCGTGCCGGTGTTTATCAGACCGGCTAAGTTCCTATATCCGGACTCCCTGGTGGGACGGCTGCTTAGGAGCCTGGGGGCTCTGGAGGGTGGGGGAGGGACTCTCAGGGGCCTGGGGGCTCTGTGGGGGCCTGGGGGCTCTGTGGGGGCCCGGGGCTCTGGAGGGTGGAGGAGGGACTCTCAGGGGCCTGGGGGCTCT